CCAGCTCAGGGGTCTGGCTCTCCCCAGTGCTCCCAGCTCAGGGGTCTGGCTCTCCCCAGTATCCCCATCTTGGAAGTCTGTCTCCAATACCCCCACTTCAGCTCTGGCTCTTCCCAACATCCCAGCTCAGAGCATCTCCATCTCAGGGGTCCGTCTTTCCCTGAAGTCCCTGCTTGGGAATCCATCTCTCCAACATCTCATCTTGGGGATCTGCCTTTCTCTGATCTCCAGCTCAGATGTCTGTGTGTCCTTGCTGTCCCCTGCTGGGACGTCCCCAGTGTCCCCAGCTCAGGGATCTGTGTGACCTCGGTGTCCCCACAGACCGTGTCAGCTTGGTGTTCCCATAGACTTCTGCACTGTGGTGTCTTTGGAGGCCCAATCACCTTGGGGTCTCTGCAGACCTGGTCTCTGGATGTCCCCTGAGCCCACACGTGCCATCCTGGTGTCCCCCTGGTATCTCCATAGAGCTGCAGATCTTGGTATCCCCACAGATCCTGTCACCTCAGTGTCCCTGCAGTCCCCATCACCTCGATGTCCCCACAGACCCTGTCACCTCAGTGTCCCTGCAGTCCCCATCAGCTTGATGTCCCCACAGACTGATCACGTCAGTGTCCCTGCAGCCCTTGTCACTTTAATAGACCCTGTCACCCCAGTGATGCCACAAATCCCATCCCATAGTGTCCCTGCAGACCAGTCTGGGGTCCTGCGGACCCTCTTACGCTGCTGTCCTCACAGCCCTGTCGTCTCAGWGTCCCTGCAGGCCTCAGTGTCCCTGCACATGCCATCACCTGTCACCCAGTCCCCTGGAATATGGGGCGGTACTGTCACCCCAGGAGCCCTCTCCCAGCACCCCCAAGCCAGGAGCATCCYGCAGGATTTCAGTGCTGGGCTGAGGCGAGGCACCACCTGTGACGTGTGCCGTGACAACCCCATGTCCCCTCGCCACAGGTTTCGTCAGTTTTGACAATCCGACGAGCGCTCAGGCGGCCATTCAGGCCATGAATGGCTTCCAGATCGGCATGAAGAGGCTAAAAGTGCAGCTAAAGCGGCCGAAAGATGCCAACAGACCCTACTGACCCCAGCTCAGCCTGCGGAGAGGTGAGCGGGCCTGGCCCTGGGGGACACGGCTGTCACATGTCACATCCCCGAGCGTGCGTGGGGGTCTCTGCCTGGGACTGCTCACCCCATGGATTTGGGTCCCTCCCTCCATCCCGCAGGGACAGACCCACAGCCCCTTCCTTCTGTTTCAGGTCGGACGTCCCACGGTGTCTGACGACTTTCCCCTTCCCCAAGTGCAGTATCCAAACCCGTAACTCTCTTTCTTTGCAACACATCCCGGAGGAGKAGGAAGAGGAGGAGGAGGTGAAGGAGCAAACGGCGAAGAAGAGAGCGTTTTGGTCGTAGCTATTCCTTTTTGAATTTTTTTCCCAAACTGGTCTTGTTTGTTGTTTAACGGGAACGAGAGGAAGATGAGGAAGGAGGGGAGCGATGCGGCGCCGGGGCTGCGCTTCACCGCCGGCCGCTCGCCGGGACTCACCGGATCCCTCGCCGGGAGCAAGGCCGATGGCTCCGGGCAGCCGGGCCACGATCTACCTTTGTTTTTTGGGTTTTTTTTTTTAAAGCACTCATTTGCTGCTACCGATTTCCCAGGAGAAACGAGGAAAAGAGGCTCCAAATGGATTCTTAAACCAAAGCCGGTGGGATGGGACCAGCCTCGGGCGCTTCACCTGGAGGATGCTTGTTTGGAAAATACAGAAAAAATGGCAAGATTTTCCTTTTTCCCTGCGTTGGGAAAAAAAAAAGAAGGATCAAAGTATGTTGGACTTAATAGAAGATATATATAAATAAGTATATATATATATATATCCCATGGAGCAGGGCGGCGGGACACGCGCTTCCCCTGCTTGTCACTGGCACAGGGACATAGGATTACTTGTTTCAGAGTCATATCATTCCTTAGAGTTTAGGGACCAAAGGACTATTGCTTTTTTTAAATATATCTATAAATAAATTAATTTAAAAAAAAAACAAAAAAACAAAAACAAAACACACAAAAAAACGTTGGGAAAGGAGGAGAAAATCCAATAAAAAATTAAGAAGGTTGAGTAAAACCCTCGGGCATTCAGAGCCACGAGCGTTTCCTACAGGGCTCGGATTTGGGGGGCTCAAGGGCTCGGTTTCGGGGGCCAATTCGTGGCTGGGGATTGGGGGGATGCAGAGGGGATTTTTTGGGGCGGCTGCAGTGGCTCCCCCAGCTCTACAGCCCAGGGGAGTCAGAGCCCCTCGGTCGCCTCTGACAGAGGGCGGAGCAATGCGGTTCTTTGCATTTCGGGTTGGTTTGGGGGGATTTTTGGGTTGGGTTTTTTTTTTTCAGCCAAAAAAACTTAAAAAAAAAAAGAAAAATGTGAGGTTTCGGCCAAAATGAAGCAAAGCGAAATAAACTTATTTTGTCAAAATCGTCACCTTGGTTGGTTCTTTGGAGCAATCGCTGCCGCGCCCACCACCCAAACGCGACACCGGGGACCCCTTTATGGCCAGCTCAGCTCCAACTGGGCCAGACCATCTGCCACGAGTTGGTGAAGCTGCGAGAGGACCATAGACCTCTCTTTTTTTATTTGCATTTTCCCAGGAATTGCCATTTTTTGGAGGAATCCACCCTGGCTGCAGAGGGAATCAGGACAGGACACAGCCCTGTGGTTTCAGTCACCTTTCARAGGGACAGAGGAGCTTCAGGGGGATGTGGCCATGTCCCATGGGATGTCACTTCATGCCTGTGGGTACAGCTGAGCAACTGCTGTGATGCTGGGAAAATGACTTATTTTTCATTTGAGGAGGCGAAAAAATGCAAATCCCACAAACTTTAAYAGCCCTCCAAAGGGTGGGTGGCAGGGCTGAGGCAAGGGAATGGCCACCGGCCCAGGTTTGGGTGGCCCTTGGGAACACAGAGCAGCAGGTGTGGGATGAGTGGGGATGGAGAGATGTTGGGATCTGTGCAGGGACAGGACAGACGTGACACTGAGTGCAGCCACCAGTGTGATGAGCCTGTCAGGACTCACACAGGCACAGATCCTGTACCAAAACCAGGACARTCCTTACATCGATTCTTCAATTCCATCATCAATCCTGACTGAAACCGTAGCGTGGTGCAGCCGTGACTGACCCGGAGGGCCCCTGGGCTGTGGGGACCGGCAGTGCCCAGCCCGCTGTGCCTGTGCTGAGCCCTGGCAGCCTCTGGGCCGTCTCTGCTGGGTTTCCACCCAGGCTGGGGTGCAGCAGGACACAGCTGTGCTGGTGCTGTCTCTGTGCCCGTGGTGTCCCGGGGATCAGCCTGGGCTGAAATGCTGTCCCTGGGAGGTTTCTTGTTTGTTTCTGCTGCAGCACCGGTGCCTGGGGGCCCTTGAGGGGTCCCATGTCCCCATCCCTGAGGGACAATCCTTCTCTGTTGTGTCATCCCCACTCTACAGCAGTGCCTCTTTGCCATGGTGTGATGGGGGAGTGCTTCCCTCCCTGCACCCCCAGCCCCATCCCAAAGCTGCATCAATTCTCTACAACAGTCCCCCCATTCCCATCCCATCCCATCCCATCCC